CCGTGTTGGTGAGAGGGGCGTGGACACAGCAGAGGCTGGGTTGGACGTGGGGAGGCAGCAGCGGGCCCAGTTGGCTTGGCTTTGAGGATGTGCTTGACTTTGAGGATGTGTCAGGTTTTCGTGAACCGAAGGCTTTTTTAAATGAGAAAAATACATTCAAATTCTGTAAAATACTGAAGTTAAAAATACCTTTATAAACACATTTTTTCACTTAAATTTATATTTCTTACCCCCCAAATAGACAGTTAAAACCAACCAGGTTGTGGGGGAACCCATGGTGGAGCACAGATGCTAGGCAGTCGGTGGCTGTTCCCAGGGCACATCCCCCTGCAGTAGATGGACAGCAGGTCACCTGCTGGGTGGTGCTGGCAGAGGGTGCAGGCTGAGGCCCCAGAGCTGCGCGAACACGGCAGTGGCCTCAGGTGTCCCTGTGTGCAGGGTGGAGCCCTGGAAGCTCTTGCGTGCTGACTGGCTTTGAGGGAGGGAGGGAGTACGTTAAAGATCTTAGGCTCTTGTTATTGTAGAAAGTTAAAAATAAGGAGAGGAAAGGAAAGGGGGACAGTGACAGAAGCCTCGTGAGTCAGATTGGAGTCTGAGGTTTCATTGCAAATTGAGAAAGTAAGTAAATGCTAAAAGCAGAGCAGAAAACTACAAAAACACCAAAAAGTGGGGTCAGAGGCTTGTCAGGAAGACACAAGGAGCTCACCTAACGGAGCTCTGGAGGCCAGAAGCACAAGCCACAGAGGAGCAATGGGGCTGGACAGAAGGGGCCCAGCCCCTGCTCACCTGCACCGCTGCCTCTGGGAAGGCCAGCTCTGGTGGGCCAGTGCAGGAGAGCAGGGGGCAGGGGTGAGAGTGGCTGGCAGGCCCCCGGGGACCGGACCCCCGCGTGGCACAGGGGTTCCGGGTCTTTCACAGCCCCTGGCAGTATGGTCAAGGGTCCCGTTCCTTGGTGGGAAGGTTCTCATGGTGTCTGCATGTCCTGCCACCGCAGTGGGTCCCCTCTGGTCCTCGATGGTGTTCATTTGTGTCTTCACTCATTGTTCATGGTCAGTCTGGCCAGAGCCTGATCAGTTTTTTGCTTCAAGGAATTCTGTTAGTTTTATCGATTTTCCTCTTTTCCTTTGCATTGATCTCTGCTCTTTGCTCTTATCTCTTTTATTGCTTATTTTGGATTTAATTTGAGTTTTTCTAATTCTTAAAGTGAAGCCTAAGGCCCCTGAATTGAGGTTTTCTAGAGCAGGCATTGAACACTATGGCTGTATTTCAAGCACTGCACATTTTGACACATTGCCTTTTCATTTCAAAACAGTTTCCAGTATTTTTAATTTTTTTCCCTAACTTGTGAAGTATATTTATTTAGTTTGCAAATATTTGGGGTTTTCAGGTATTTTTCTGTTGTTGTTTTCTGACTTGATGCCAGTTCAGTTAGAGAGCATTGAGGGCTGTTAGGAGGCCTGGAGGTGCCTATTGGGGGGGGGAGGGCCTGTCTGTGGCCTGGAGGTGCCTGGGGGGGGGGGGGGGCCTGTCTGTGGCCTGGAGGTGCTCCAGTGTTGTGCTGGGATCACTCTGTTGCCGGGTGGTGATGTGTCTGCTTCCTCCTGTGATGACTGTGAGCCGGTGTTGAGGTTCCCACCTGGGACTGCTGCAGTGTCCCTTTCTCCATAAGCTGCTATCAGCTTTTGCTTCCCGTTTGCAGCCCTGTCTGCAGGTGCGGAGGTGTCTGGCCTGTCACCCTGAGCCACCCTTGGTCCTCATGTATGGCCTTGGGTACCCTGTGACGCTGACTTATGCTAACGTAACCTTTACAGCTTTCTTTTGATGTGGTGTTTGCATGGTTTTCCATCTTTTAATCTATTTGTGCCTTTACACAAATTGATTTAAACATTGTCTAATGGCCGAGATGTATTTCGGTTGACTCTGTCTCACGGTCTGAGCATTATAGAATGTACTTCCACAGACTGAGACGGCTGTGACATCACTAAGCAGAAAATCCTTTGGGATCTCCTTCATGTCCTGTGGTACAGGCCAATATGGAAAATGGGTTCCTGAAGTAGCACACAGCTGCCCTGAGAGTGTCTGCTCCTCAGGACACTGGCCCTGCACTGTGAAGTGCGGACTCAACTCTGCAGGCCGTTTTCAGCCCTGCCTCCCACAGTGCTCAGGAAAGGCCTTGCTTCTTCATCCAGTCTGACAGTCTTGGCCCTCTAGCTGGTTGCTGGACAGTTGGACGTTGTTGTATTTATGGTTGAACTCAGTTGTCCCTAATTTTGTGACTCAGAAGCTTTGGTTCTTCCTTCATCCTCTTCGTCACCTTTTTAAGTGGTGAAATTCTACATTTACAGAACTTTGTTTAGAATGTAACTTGCCGTTTTTTGAACGGAGGTGATGTTTTTATTAGTTATTGGTGATTTTCATAGTGTGCTGGTACAGCCCTGTTTTTCTCCTCAGTCCTGTGTTCTTAGTGTGCAGTCTTGCTGAGTGGGAGGTTCTTCCAGAATGCATGTGTTATATTGTAGCAGAAGCTCCTGGTTCTGTGTGACCTGCAGATGGGAAAAGAGAAAGGTCCCTCTCAGTGTGGCCATCTGAAGAAAGCCAGGCGTGGCTGGGAGCTGCGGGCCTGCTGGGGCCAGGGGTCTGAGGGGCGGTTAGCCAGGGCGAGGGGAGCCAAGCAGGGTCGGGTGAGCTGCCCTCAATCCCGAAGAGCTGTTCTTTGAAGATACTAAACAGTCCCAACTGTCCGAAAGGTGGCCCAGAAGGTGGAGCAGAGGGAAATATCCTGGAATGTCCAAGAATGTGTCTCTGAAAGCGACTTACAAATCTAAATGGCGGGGTGCTGGGGTTGTGGCTCAGTGGTAGAGCGCTCACCTCGCATGTGAGAGACTCTGGGTTCGTCCTCAGCACCACATAAAAATAAATAGACAAAACAAAGATATTGTGTCCATGTATAACTGAAAAGATATTTTAAAAAAAATGTAACTCAGGAAAACGTTTTCAGAAGCCCACCAGAAGACATGGTTGTAGAAATAGGAGCTGGGGGTTAGGAGGAGGGGCAGGCTGGGTGGGAGAGAGGATGATTACCAAGGAAGTGGTGGAGAACCAAGCTGAGGCTTAATTAAACTCCATATCAGAAGCCATCAAGACTACAGCTGAGGTGTGGAGAAGAGACACGTGGCGATGGGGACATACTGGAGCGGCTGCCCGGAACGCAGAGTAGACAGCAGATGTGGCCGTGATGAGAGCCCAGTCCCACGGGAGGTCCAGTCCATAGCATCGGAATCTCCGAATGAGCCAGAACAAGTGTAATAAAATAATAATTAAAGATATAATTGAAGAGCAGTTTCCTGAGCAGGAAGAAGACCAGTATGTATTGAAAGGGTCATGCTTTGAGCAAAATTAATGAGACTCTTACCATGCATCTTTTGAAAACATTTTGTGAGTTTCAAGATTAAAGACATGCTAGCAAAATCCAGGCAGAAGAAAGTGACGACATCATCAAAACTTGGTTCCCTAAAGTTTGCCTTGGTGGGTACCACAGTCAGGCCACCTAAGAATTCTCTACGACTCCAGGCATGGGGATTGACATCTGCAGGACTTGAGGGGCACATGTTGGTGATCTTAGACTTTTATACCCAGCCAAGATGTGTGTGTGTGTGTGTGTGTGTGTGTGTGTGTGTGTATGCTGTGTCCTCTGAGATTTACAGAGCTTTGCAGAATTACAAATTTATGTTCCCTTTAAGAAAATGAAGTTTCTTTCAGACTAAGAGATGACTAAAAATTCTGAACCTAAGATTAATGTCACTGTGTTTTCTAAGGAAATAACCAGATACAAATCAGTGCTCACAGTGACACGAATCACAGAGTTGTAGTTAGTGTAAAATTGGAACCTACCTAAACAGCAGCCTGCGGGGGCAGTCCCGACACAGCGGGTTGTTGGGTGCTTTCCTTCTGAGCATTTGTGGGGAGGGGGTGGACTTGACTGACTGACTGAAGCAGAGCACTTCATCACTGTCTTAAAGGAAGACGCTGCACAGATGCCAGCAGGGTCAGTTGGGAGTCCCAGGTGGTGCCTTTGAACTTGCCTCTGGGGCTCTTCTTTGTGGGAGTGGTCTTTGGAGGAGTCTGGTTTTGGGGGAGACTCTGGTAAATCTGTGGGCCTTGTGAGGCCCGGGTCTGAGAACAGTACTGTCCGTGAACACGGAAGTTGCCAGTGGAGGGTAGGAACCGTGTGACCATCGGCACAGGGGTGCTTCACCCTCACCTGGGCGGACCGTGGTGGTTTCATCATCAGAGAATGAAGAGGAAGCCAAGAAAGTGAGGCTGTGAGGACGGGAACATGGGGCAGGATTCAGGTCTCAAGCCAAGTGGGGGACGCTGACCTGAATGAACCCCTGTGGCGGCAGCCCTGGGAGCCCCAGCCTGCGGGTGTGGCCTGGGTGGGTGTCGCTCAGGTGGAAACCTGGTGGGAGAGCTGAGAGGGGTTTTTCTTTTAAAATGTTTCCCTTCACATGGTGGCGCAAGATAATGTGGTTCTGATTCCATTGACGCCTTGGAGGAGAGTGAGCTGCTTCCTTCTGAAGGCCCAGTGGTGGATGTGGGGAGCTTCTGGCCTGGCTCCGGTCAGAGGTCAACCCTGGCTTGGCGCCAGGGCACCTSGGTCCCCTTGGAGGCTTTTTATTGTCATGCTTGGAGGGCGTGCTCCTGGCCTCTTTGGGTAGAGGCCAGTGCTGCTGGGAGTGTCACAGTGAGTGGATGGCCCCCCCACCGCAGCCGCTGAGCTCCTGGTGCGTTGTTGGTCCACTCTCCATCGACATCTTTGCCCGTGTGTGATTTGCAAACAGAAATCCCAACTGGTTAGTTTTCTTAGAAATGGTTCCACTTGAATTGTTTACCAAACCCTGGTGAAGACAGGAATGAAAAGCAGAGTCAGTGTCCCCTCGTCTGTATTTGCTTTTCAGATAAAGCCCGAGCCTAACTCAGATCTCTCTCTAACCATGCAGGTTCATCTTTGGAAAGCCAGGCGAAGACCTCTGCTCTCTGTTTGGATTACTTGATTTACGAGACGCTGTCAGCGAGACTTGGAGTATTCACGGCTGTGACCCTCCCCTCCCTGTTTCTGTACTTGTATGTGTTGGTGGAAGTTTGAAGCTCTTTGGAGCTCTTGTTTACGTGGAAAATTTGAGCCATTTTGAATCCATTAAAGGTGCAGACGCTGCTAGCAATGAGCTCCCAAAGCCATCCAGGTAAGGCTGCTTCCTCCATTCCCTGCACTCAGTCTCCTTTACAGAGGCACGAGGCTGTCACCGTGCCCTGCTGGCTGGGTTTTCCTTGATAATGGCCACTGTTAGTTCACTGCAGCCCCATGTGCAGGTAGATTGGTGGTTCTTCATCTCAGTGAAACAGGGCTGATGGGGACTTGGGAGCAGTCTTGGCTTGCTTTGCAGGCTGACTTGGTACCAGAGAGGAGAACTGCTCTTGAGCAAGGTGATTTCTGAAGGTTGGCTTGTGATTTTTAGTTAATTGCTCATTCCAGAGTTTCTTGTTGGGGTGCTTTGGTGGGGGGATGCTTCCTTGGTGGCCTTGGGTGGAGTCTAAAGAAGCCTCTTCTGTGCACACACAGGAGCTGCTTGTGGAGTGAGTCCATGGCTTGCTACAGGGTGCTTCTGCGCTGTGTCAGGGTGTACGAGGAAGGGTTTATCCAAGGTCACGGAGCTGGGAGTGGTTGAATGCCACTGTCCCTCAGCTCCTAGGCCATGTGGAGGCACAGACACAGGGCTTCACCCCTTAAGACTTTGGGAAGTCACGGTACCTACACTGCAGTAAGCCTGGGAACCCTCCCCTTTTCCCCTCAAGGTGCAGGCCTCCCCTGGAAGTACCACTGCCAGCTGCCCACCCTCCAGTTGCCCAGGGCATCATGTGTGACCAGCAGGGCACATAGAGTTAGGAACTGACCACATCTAGTCAAGAAGTTGGATTGCTGCAAGGACCAGTGCTTGAGGCCCTGAGGCTCTTGTCCAGGCTGCCCCCTGTGGGATTGCACAGAATGTCACCTACACCTCTTGGGTATGATTGTCCTTTTCTGCTAGCTCTGGAGGGCAGTGCCCAGTCTTTATTTAGATACGAAAGTTTTACTTGAAGTATTCCTGTATTGATTGGTATGAAGAGTGGGTTATGGTCATGACAGGAAACGTTGGAGCTCTGTGCACACTTTGAGGTGTACTCCGTGGGCATTGGTGTGTGGCTCTGCTCTGGCTCCTGGAGGGGCAGCTGTCAAGGTGGGGTGTGCCTCTTTCCTGTGTGAAAATGTGAGTGTTATGTGTATGTGATTTTTAATAGAACTTAATCCTGTATGTGGGGTGCTGTGTGTGTGTTTTTTCCATTTTAATATGACATCTTTGATGTCAGTGTTTATAAATCTAATGTTCTTTTTGATAGTTTGTAAGTGGATATTTATGTGGTCGCAACACTATTTATAACAACCTCCAGTTGGCATCAACAATTGTTGTACGTGTATTCTGTGCACTTCTGTAAGCGTCTCCATGGGACAGATCCCAAGCAGCAGCTGCTGGTCAGCGGGCATGTGTGTTGACGATGTCCTCAGGTTTGCTCTGAGGTTGCCCCAGAAGCTTGTCTCAGCTCGTCTTCCTGATTACACTTCAGGAGAGCTGTGTTTTCCTTAACTTTGTAGCACAGCAGTGCTGGGCAGACTGAGTATTTTATTTTTGTTATGGCTGGGGAAATTATTTTGTTCAACTTCCTGTGTAAATGGGGATGCGCATTTCTGTATGGCCTGGCATCCATGCAGTCAAGTCTTGTATCTGCACCCAGACATCTGAGGACCAGTGTGCCCTGGTTCTCGTTGTTGAAGAAGAGCTGTGTACGCACTGATACTGTGTCGAGAGCTCCTGGGGCGGAGTGGAGTGTCTGTGCGGGGGGGCCTCTGCAGCTGACCCTGTGCTGCACAGATCTGGGTAGCCTTCCCTTTTATATATTTTTTAAAATGTCTTTTGATTTCTGGGAAAAGTGAATTTTTCTACTGTGATTATAGTTTATTAATAACTTTCTGTTATTAACCATTTTTTGCTTTGTATGTTTTGGTGTTTTTTTTGTGTGCTTAAAAATTAATGGCTGTTGTTCTGATAGACTAGGTCCCTTGTCAAAGTCCAGTGTCTTTCTCTTTCTTTAGTATTCATTGGCCCAGGAGTTTACTTTGTTTCATGACATATTTCTCTCTGGTTTCTCTGGGTGTCTCTGTGGCCTTGTCTTGACAGTTTCTGGTCTCTTCTCTAAGGCCCATCTCTGTCAGCTGGACAGCGGGCACTGGTCCTGCTCCTCCTGGGGTCTTCACCCTTGATGTGTGCCCGCTTGCCTGTCCTGTCTGGGCGCTGTGTGTCACTTTCTATTGCCGATCCTCTGCTGTGCCCTTGGAGCGGGGCTTGGTGGAAAGAGGGCAGGGCTGCGTGCCTGTCGTGGTGGTGTGCTTGGGCCTGGAGTGGGCACTGCTGCTTTTCCAGCCCTTCGGACTCCTTCAGGTGCCCGGCCTATGCCCACGCAGTATGGTCCTGCCCCTGGCACAGTGCTGGCCTGGGCCCACCTCACTGGTCACGGTCTGCCCCTCAGAGCGATCCTGCCAGGCTTAGGGTTTCCAGGCAGCCCTCCAGGTTTCCCGTCWGTTTGTGTACCTGCTCATCCCCTGCCAAGCTGTAAGTGTGGACACAGTTTTATTTTTATTGTGTCATTTTAGTGGATTTGGGGGAGGAATGGAAATAATACCCAGTCACTCAATTTCCTGTCTTTCCCTCCTTCCTCTCCTTCCTCCTTCCCTTCTTTCATCTTCCTCTCCACTCCTTCCTCCTTCCCTCTTTCTCTCTTTCTGCTGGGGATCACACCGGGCCTCTGCGTGCCAGGTGCCTGCCCCACCTCTGAGCGTCGCCGCGCCCTCACTCTGCCGTCTGCAGCAGGGGTCTCCAGACACCCCCAGGCACAGGTGCAGGCCCTTCTTTCCCTCATGCCAGGGAGGAGAGTCCTGTGGCCACCTCAGTGTCTCTCCAACACTAAGTTGCAGCCTCGTGCCCATCCTCTTTCCCCTGTGTCTCCAGAGTCCTCTCTTGGCTGGCTCTCATCTGTGACCCTGCTTCTGTGTGGCCTGGTGCATGCTGGGGCACCTCCAGCCCGGAAGGTGCAGCTGCTGTGGGCTCTCTCACATTGGCAGTGCAGTTGGCTTTGCCTGGTGATAAAGCAGCCTTTTATTTGATGTGTGTAAGTCTTCTTTCCCCTGTTTTTCCTTTAAACTCCCTCTGGTGCTGGGTGAGGTATGCGTTATGATTTTATTGCTGTTCTTTCTGAACTTTGCCAGAGCCAGGCCCTGGCTCTTTGACGTAAAAGCCGCTTAACTGTTGGGATTTATTGCTCTAAATAACTGTTTCTAATGCTGTGAGCAGCCTGGGGAGAAGCTTGGGTTGACGGCGCTTGTGAGAACTCTTCTTGGAGAGGGGCTCTGAAATGCCCTTCCTGCCTAGCCCAGTGCACAGGCCTTCCCCCGTCTCAGTGCGCCCAGATAGGCTGAGTGGATCTGCAGGGCACAGTGTGTGTCCTGGAAGTGCGTCCCCACTGTGACCCAGGGTGGGGGCAGGTGCCTGTGTGCCTGCTCATGGCACAAGCAGTGTTCCCCTTTCCCTGTTCATTTTCTTGCCAGCGACTAACCTTCTTCCTTTCCCCTTGGTTAAGCTGTGCCTGGCACCCACTCAGAGGCCCCGGGCACTCACCTGTGGCTGCAGTCGCCCCTGCCGGGAGGTCTGGTGAGAACCCTCTGAATCTCTGGAGACCACGCAGAGTGCTGGTGCACCCTGCCCACCCAGGAGAAGCCTTGCTGGGAAGCTGGTCAGGCAGGGTCCATGGCCTTCAGGCCTTCCGGGTCCTGTCCCTCCCTGCATCTTGGCTGGGAGCATGGATAGTGTTCAGTTAAAAACAAAGTTACACGTTGAGGGAAGCTTGTGCAGTGAAGATCAGTGCTTTGGTTTGGACCATATTCTGTGCAGTTTGAAGCACCTGTTCACACAAAGGCTGCTGAAATCTGCCCCCAACGGTGTGGTGGTTAGTGAGCCCCGGTCTCCGGGTTCCGCCAGCCGCTGTCCAGATCCGTCTCTGGGTCTCCCAGGAGAAGGCACTGCCCTTTGGTGGGGCTGAGCGAGGGCCTGGGATCCTTCAGTCCCCACACTCTGTCCTTCATTTGTCTGATCTTGATGGAATCTGTTTACTTCAACCAGGACTATTATATGTTAATACAGAAGTTATATCCCAAGGGAGTATTTATACAGTACTGAAGTCACCTTTTGCCATGGTTGACTATTTCAGGAATAGTGCCAGTTTTTAAGGGGAGAAGATGAATTTCGCAGTCCTGGGATTAACACTGATGTCAGTTCTGAGCTGCTGTGACGGGCAGGTCGTGGACCCTGAGGGAGGTTCTAGAGGCAATTCTGGAACTGAGAGTGGCTGTGGAGGAGGCTGGAGAGACCCAGGCCTAGCTCCTCAGGAGAGTAGGTAGCAAGGACAGCCAGCTGGGTGGGGGCCTGCGTTCTGAAGGCTGGGAAGGGGCCGGCCCCAGTCTAAGAAGAATTGCTTCCTGGCTGTCGGGGAAGGCAGAGGAGAGGCCCAGCAGTTGGTGAACATGGGGTTCTGGGCAGTGGGTGAGTGAGGCTGAGGTGGGGCCTTAGAGAAGGCACAGAGACGTCTCAGGCAGTCCGACTGAGTCCAAGTGGAAGATGCGGCTGGGAGCTCCGGTCTGCTTCCTGGGAGGAAGGTCCCCGCTGTTCCCCTGTGCTCCACAATTCCACCTGCAGCCCAGCCCGGCCTTCTGGCTCCTCCCAGCCACCCGCGTAGCAGCCTCCACAGCTCTCCTTGTCACACCCTGCTTCTCCATGCCATCATTATCTGGGATCTTAATCAGTCAAGATTTGTTCTGAAAATCATGTAGACATAAGGACTTATTTTTCAACGTACTTCTTTTTTTTCTATCCTCAAATTGTGTTTTGTCTTTTAAAAATTACGAATGCTCAGTTGCAATGAAGAGCTCAGAAAACTCACTGTCAATGGAGCATTGATGGTTTGTTTTGGCAATTCTCTGAGAATTCTTATACAGTTTGTGGAACATTTGCATTTGTGTCCTTTTTTCAAAGCCTCCATTGTTGAAATGCAAATTTCTGAGTTCTGAGATGCTGAATGTTGGATGATTAATGATATTGAG